CACACCGGCCAATCATCGGGGAGGGGGGAGGGGGGAGGACTGCATTGGGAGTTTATACCCTGATGTAAATGACGAGTTGATGGTGCAGCAGCCAGCAACATGGCAACAAGTATAACATATGTAACAACCTGCACGTTATGCACCATGTACCCTACAACTTAAGTAATAATAATACAAAATAAATTATAAAAAAAAAAAAAAAAAAAAATGAAAGGAAGAATCGTGTGTTTCATCCTGTGTCTTTTCTTCAGCACCATCCCCAGCCTAAAAGCAGAGCTTCCTGTGCTGTTATTATCTAGGAGGTGACACGGTATAAAAACTCCTAGTGACTCTTAGGGCTTCCTCGCTGTAGCTCAACAGAGAATCCTGAAAGACACTACCATTTCCTACCCATTTATCTACCAGAACCATGCAATGCATTTATAATTCATTGACTGCCTTAAGCAGTATCATTTTGTCAGTACAAAAATCAAGTGCTTCTCACAGACACTCAAAGATCATGCCATTTTCCGAAAGATCTAGCAGCTGAAGCTCAAAATTAGACACATATTTCTACCAAACAGATTAGAAAAGCAGCTACTAAAATTTCCCCTAATTTTAGGAATTACCTCCTCCTGTCTTAGCTCATTAAATAGGTTAATTCCCCCAAATCCATGGTTCTTTTACACAGACCCAGGGAAGCTATTCAAACATTTTCTTTCAAAAGCAAGCCATATTGTAGGCTGCAAGAAGAAAGCATTCAACTAGCTCTACTTCTCACAAATTCAAAATGTTTGAGGGGCTAAAGTCAACCCTACACATAGCAGAATTTCCAGAAGGAAGTACACAGTGTACACAAGTCTCTCACAGTAGAAACAGACCTGCTTTTCCTATTCAAAGGGTGGGGAGAGAGGACTAAATTTCAGTATCATGCCAAATATTATGAAACACAACTATAAAAGTATGTTGTAAAAAAAATCCTGAAATAGCTGCTATGGAGACATAAAAATTCCATTAAATCAAAAAATATATATTTTATACACATGGCTACCAATCCCAGTTCTTATAAGAGTGATTCTCAAAAACAAAAAGATCACTGCTTTTGTATTTATGGCTTAACACTTCCAGGGTGCAAAAGCAGTAATTAACACAAGGGTAGCATAAAAACTGGGCAAGGTGTATGAACAAGAGCAATAAAGGATGATTTAAATAATAAATTGATAACAGTTGGTGACAAGCAGTACTCTGTCAACAGAAATAAACAAAGCAGGTACCCATGCTCTCATAATAATCAAACAGCATGCACACATTTAAATTCAAAGTATAGAGACTGTGGATCAAATTTGTTTAAACACACAACAGCTTTTACACTTAATGAATATACACTTACATTTTCTGTGGTTCCAGTAATCACGTGTAACCCATCGTAGGTTGATTTGATGTACATGCCCTGGAGTGAGTCACAAACAGATTAACTCATTACTCCAACATTTACAGACATCGCCCCAAGCAAGACTTAAACTTATAAAACATTAAAAACAGTCTCTTCAGAACAATACTCGTTTTTCAGCCTCCCGAAACATCTAGAAACAAGATCCAAAGGGTGGTGAAGGGGAGCTAAGCAAACTGAAATACTGGTGAAAGCAGTAAAACGTGTGATCTCTTTGATACTATAATCTGAGTACCAGGCACACAGAATTATGCCACAACTCCGAGGATGTGGGCTTTTTCTTAGACCTACAGAATGAGTGAATGAGGGAGGCACTTCAAACAAGAACGGTTCTATTATGTTGACGATGAGACGGGGTCTTGCTATGTTGCCTAGACTGGAGTGTAGCGATGCCAACACAGCTCACTGTTACCTTGAACTCCTGGGCTCAAGTGATCCTCTCACCTCAGCCTCCCCAAGTAGCCAGGACTACAGGTGTGTGCCGCCACACCCAGCTAATTATTTTATTTTTTTAATAGAGAAAGGACCTCGCTATGTTACCCGGGCTGGTTTCAAACTCCTGGGCTCAAGTGATCCTCCCACCTCGGCCTCCCAAAGTGCTGGGATTATAGGAGTAAGCCACCACACCCAGCCAAAGAACAGTTCTTTCTTGACCATTTCTTGGTCTAGGGACACAATATATTCATTTAAATTTGGTAACCGAAATAACCTCAGAGTGACTATTAAAGCTACTAATAATCAGACAAAGATATATGAACAAAGATTATTAAATAACAAAGCATAGGTAGCAAATTAGTAACAGACATCCTTCCTTTTAAGGGAAATGTAAAGATGAATGAATATTCTCTCTCCTAAGAGGCCTGAGAGGCAAACTCAGAGGCCATGCCTCACTGAGTGATACACCGAATATATCACTGAGGAATTATTTCTGCAGTTGGACTCACCACATTTAATGTTGTTTAATTAAACTGCTACAAGATGGGAAAAGAGAGCAAAAAGTAGAACGGGCAAAACGTAGTTGCTCACCCTGGTATCTATGCTGTAATAATGTGGACCCTTCTCAGACATTATGCTGCACCCAGCCTGCTCATTAACCTACACCAATTTATGATGAGAGACCCATCAAACACCAACGCCTTCAGGTTCTCCCCATTCCTCTCCTATCCTGTTACTTTCACTCACAGATTATATCAGCTTCTCCCCTACACATGGCACTCCCCCTCCCAGGGCACTGCTTGTATAACTCTACTATCTGAAATGACAACTCCATTTCTGCCAGCTCAGGGCATTTATCTGCTTAAATATTTGACTATAAACCTACCTCCAGGAAGTCCTCCCTGTTTAAACTTAATCTGTTATAATCCATCATTTGCCTTGAAGTCAAGCAGTACCAATATGCAAATTTCTGCTCACTAAGAATGTGGGCCTAAAACAGTCGGTTGATTTTTGTTTTTTTCTAAGAGCAGAGACTACCTTAATAGCTCCCAACAGCTACCTATACATTAGATACTTCTCCCCCTCCACCTTCTCCTCCTCCTCCTTCTCCTCATCATCATCAATACCAGCAACCGTAGCTGCAGCCACATTAATGCACACGTACTATGTGCTTGGGGCCTGGCACTTGGCATTCACAATCTAATACAATACTTTCAACAACCCTATGAGGAAACTGACACGTAAAGAGGTTAAGTCCCTAAAGAGCCGGGACATAAACCCAGCTCTCTCTGACTCAAAGCCTCTAAGCTAACTAATGGGCTTCACAGCTTCTTCACGAAAATTTCAGCAAATTAATCCCACAGGATGCACGCTAGGTACTAGGAGACTACCTGTATGTAGTCCCACAGCCTGTTATGATATAGCTCGTATATTACTTATGAAACGTTTCTAAACCCTTCTTAAGAATCACTGCCTTCAGCCAGTCTCTTCTCACATTCGTCTAAGTCCTAATAGAGACTTTCAGACAGATGTTGTTTTTGTAGCCAGAGACCATATTTCCTTTGTGTAAATGTTTTATATTTCCTTGCATTGCTAAGTCCTAAAAATAAAGTGTTATCTTCAAAATATGAGTATACAGTTTTTAAATTGTATTTATTTTTATACTCTGAAGATAGAAAACATATCAACAGGATTCAAGATAGCACATTCCTAACTACATCACGGAAGGCGGTCTAACTTAATTCTACTTTTCAGAATTATAGTGAAAGCAATAAGGAATTTTTTTTAAAAAAATTTAGTAAATGATGATATATGTTATCTGAAAATAAAACAAGTGTTATTAGAACTTACCAGGCCTTCCCCAGGTTTAATGTTTGGTAAGTGAACTTCCTCCAGACATGCACATTGGCTCATCACAGGATCTGTGGTAGATCGGATTGTTTTGTCACAGATGCCATTTAAAACCTTGACCTAGAATTGGAGAAGCAAATAGTCAGGAAAGTTCAATCATTAACCAAGTTTATCTCAAGCTGATTTTTAGAGAAACGCATTTCACCTATAATCTTTAGTTCTGGTCGGCAATCATTCTGATAATTCTGCTCAATGAATGCATGGCGTTTAGACTCCCTGTTTACCATCCGTGGGAATAGTGCCACTATTTCAGCTTTGTTTACAAAGGGCAGTTTTTATATTCACTCCTCCATGACCACCGAAGAGCACAGGCCAGGCAGAAATTCCCTTTCAGCAATGAAGTGGAATCATCTCTCCAAGGCCACCTACCTGACTTTTCAATGATTGCTCACAGTCTCTGAACACCAAATATTGACAAGGCAAAAAAAAAAAAAAAAATTGTTTTGGGCCTAAACCATTTTTTTAATGGACTTTACTTTTTAAAGCTGTTTTAGGTTTATTTAAAAAATTGAGCAAAAAGTCCATTGAGTTCCCATATATCCCCTCTACCACCACCCTCCATTCCCAGCTTCCTCTATTATTAACATCTTGTCCTAGTGCAATGCATTTATTACAAATGATGAACTAGGCTGGGCACAGTGGCTCACGACTGTAATCTCAGCACTTTGGGAGGCCAAGGTGGGTGGATCACCTGAAGTCAGCAGTTCAAGACCAGCCTGACCAATATGGCAAAATCCCATCTCTACTAAAAATAGAAAAATTAGATGGGCATGGTGGCAGGCGCCTGTAACCCCAGCTACTTGGGAGGCTGAGGTTGCAGAATTGCTTGAACCTCGGAGGCAGAGGCTGAGGCTGCAGTGAGCCGAGTCACACCACTCTACTTCAGCTTGGGTGACAGAGGGAGACTCTGTCTCCAAAAAAACAAAACAAAACAAAACAAAAACAAATGATGAACTAATATTCAGACATTAACTAAAATCTTTAATTTATATTAGGGTTCACTTTTTGTGGTGTACATTCTACGAGTTCTGACAAATGCCTAACGTCATGTATCCATCATTACAGTCTCATACAGGATAGTTTCAATGTCCTAAATATCCCCTGTGCACAACCTAATTATCCACCACCCCATTCCTCACCATGAACCCCTGGCAAACATAGATCTTTTTACTATCTCTGTGGTTTTGATTTTCTAGAATGCCAAATAGTCAGAATTTTGCAGCATGTAGCCTTTTCAGACTGCCTTATTTCAATTAACAATATGCTTGTGAGTTTCTTCCATATATTTTCAGGACTTAATAGCTTATTTCTTTTTTATTGCTGAATAATATTCTATTTTATAGATGTACAACAGTTTCTTTATCCATTTACCTATTGAGAGACATTAAGGTTGCTTCCAATATTTTTGGCAATTTTGAGTAAACCTGCTATAAACATCCTGTGCACATTTTTTGATGTAAATTTTCAACTCCTTTGGGTAAATATTTAGGAGCACAACTGTTGGATCATATGGTAAGAATATGTTTCATTTTGTAAGAAACTTCCAAATTGTCCTCCAAACTGCCTGCACCATTTTGCATTTCTACCAGCAATTAATGAGCATTCCTGTTGCTCCACATCCTCAGCAGCATTTGGTGTTGTCAGTGTTTTATATTTTAGCCTATATAATAGGTGTATAGTGGTATCTCGTTGTTTTAATTTGCAATTCCCTAATTACAGATGACATTGAACATCTTTTCATAGGCTTATTTGCCATGTGTATGTAAGTACCTGTTCAGATCTTTTGCCTCCTTTATAATTGGGTTGTTTTGTCTTCTTATTCTTATTTTAAGAGTTCTTTGTATATTTTGGATACAAGTCCTTTATCTGATAGGTGTTTTGAAAACATTTTCTCCCAGTCTGTGGCTAGTCTTTTCATTCTCTTACCAGTGCGTTTCACATAGCGGTTTTTAATTTTAATGAAGTCCACGTTATCAATTTTTCTTTCATGAATTATGCTTTTGGTATTCTATCTGAAAACTCATTGCAAAACTGACTGACAGTCACCTACATTTTCTCCTATGTTATCTTTTAGATGGTTTACAGTTTTGCATTTTACATTTAGGTCTATCATCTTTTTAGTGATCACTCACATTCTTTGAATGCCAAACACCGAGGAGGTAAAACTAAAGAGACAATGAGAGGATCCCTATTGAGTAGTCTCCTTGTAGAAGTCACAGTGGTTACGTGTGGTATTTCCCCAATCAGACTCATCTAACCTTTCAAAATTAAACAACCAAAGAAATCAGGAAATTCCAAAGAGTGATTTTTCTTTCCAAGGGGGAGAATCCAAGAAGTGATACTTTTTACATTCCTCCAATTTGTTTGGCCTCCCTATTTATGGAAAATATATTTATAGCAGTTTCATTGCTAAATTCCTCAACATCAGTAGGAGGAAGGTCTTATCAAAAGAGCACAGGCTGGCTTATGTCAAAAGGAGGAAGTGATGATGAATAGTTACAAAATGCTCCTTAAACAGTTACAGCACATCCCCCCTCCATCATAAGGTTGTTGCCAAGAATTTTTTTCTTAAATCAAAACGGTCCTAAAGTGAAATTTGCACATCAGTTCAATCATGATTAGCAGGCTAGCTAGCAATGTACGTATAACTGTATCCTGATATAATGTTCAGAAAAAGTAATAATAAAACAGAGACTCAATGTAGCTAATTTAAGCACAGGAATTTTCACAGTAGTTGGTCTTGTTAAGTAACTTTTGTGCTTTCCCTTCCACCTAAATTTAAAAACTCATGTCCCAAAAGCCAGTATTTCAGAGTATCTCCTGAAGTAATTAGCCACGGTGCATTTACTTAATGTGATTCCCACTGCCTTTGGAAAAGGAATTTTACAATAACTTTTAGAACGCATACTTACCACAGTTAAAACTTTATCCTCCATTTCTGCTACAAAGCAATCCTAAAGAAGGGGATGGAGAAAATGAACACTGAGTACAAGAGTTAAAAACCTTCAGAACTGTTGGCTTAGCTTTCTAGATATTTTCTGCAGCTCAAGGTGGTCCCTGACACAGCCCTCAGCCTGCACAGTCCTGTGGGACTGGGATGGGAAAGGGAGGGCACAGTGAGAACAGAGCTGACATTCTCACCTTCTGAAGGTCCGGCTCTCCCCTGACCCAAGGAGTTCTCATCCAAGGAACCCATTTGGCCAATTACTTAATTTGAAAACTTACAAAAATCATTGCACTGAAATCCACCTACTCTCCAGACTGTCCAGAGAGTAGTAAGTCAGAAATCCAAGTCAAGAAACCTGACGATGGCTCCCAGTGTGCCCCCAGGAACAGATAGCAGTGGGCCGACAAGCTGGCAGTCTTTAGCTCTGGACCTGCCTACAAGAATAGCTTTCAAATAAGGGCTTGAGTAAACTCAGCCACAAACGTTTATTTTAAGCACCACTGAGATTAAATCAGATATTTCAGTCCTTGATAGATGAAGAGAGTTCAACAAAACATTCATTAACACATTGCCAAAAAAGTGGTCTTGAGGTATGCTATTGATGACACGAAATAAAGGGCTGGAATGCAAAGCATTATTTATTCAGCTTAAGAACAAAAGGCTTGGAACACTGTATGAACTGGGTTAGCTGATTATAGGAACCACCATTGTCCTGTCTCAAAGCTGCCAAAGTGAAATTGCCAATGTGAAACTTTCACAGTTAACCTTCTAGAACTCATCCGTAGCAAAGGATTTCAACCTATACTGCAGAATGCATGCAGAAAAAAAAAGTCAATACAACTAGATTCTATAGAGTTTATTCAGCACTATTAACTGTAATCCCAAGCTAGGACAATCTTAAAGATAATGCTAATTCTTTTATGTACATGAAAAAATGTTAATCAACTGTGTTGGAATTGTCAGGCGAAGATTTTTCACTTCAATCAAAAAGTCATTTTTAGGTTATGTTTTACTACTTCTGAAGGAGGAAGATGACTACCAGTTTCTACTCTATATGATTTAATAATCAGACTTTTATTGTCTTCTTAAATTTGTTTAAACTTTTTTCTACTAGATAAAAATGTAGGAAACGATAATAAGGACTGCTCCTAAAATTTATACTGACTCTCAGGAAAAGAGCAGCCCAGGGAGAAAAGACTCAAAAAAAATAAATTTAGAGATGTATTTTTACATGTGTGAAGTTGATATTAACTTAAAACTACAGGAGCAACCTCTGTAACTAGGAATAATTATAGCTAAAATGTGCTTTTCCAATTCTATCTTATAGATAAAACTAAACTGTCAACTACCGTTATGGCTCATCCCCCATTAATACTGTCTGACGGATTTGTTAAATAAATTTCAACCTTGGAAACACAGTATACATATGTGATTGTGTGCTAGAAATAAAACTAATACTTTGTCTTTGTGTTTATCTTTCATCACAAATTTCTTTTTTTTTTTTTTTTTTTTTAAAGACAGGGTCTCACTCTGTCGCCCAAGTGGGAATGCAGTGGTGCAATGTCAGCTTACTGGCAGCCTTGACTTCCCGGGCTCAACTGATCCTCCCATCTCAGCCTCTCAAGCAACTGGGACCACAGGTGCACGCCACCACGCCTGGCTAATTTTTGTATTCTTTGTAGAGACGGGGTTTCACCATGTTGCCCAGGCTGATCTTGAATTCCTAGACTCAAGCCATCCACCCGCCTCGGCCTCCCAAAATGCTAGGATTACAGGTGTGGGTCACCACGCCTGGCCCACAAATCTCTAAATTAATACAAGCACTGTCACTCCGGGCAGACCATCACCTAGAGGCAGAGAGCAATTCTCAATACACCAGAGCTCAAGAACAAGGTAGACTTGTGACCGCATGGTTCCTACAACTTGATTCCTTGAGGGATCCAAGAGGTCACCAAGAATTTCGGCTCCCTGCGGTGGTGACTGCAGTGGTGATGGAGCCAGCAGCACGAGGAGCTTTCCGCCTCCCAAATTGTTCCAGCTGGCGTGTGAAAGGGCTCCCTCTCACCTCCCGCCACCGAGATCGTGGTTCCCACACCCATTCCTGCCGAGAGGAAGCAGCTGCAGGCATGACTTCACATTGTTTTCTGGCGTGAAGGCAATGGAATGGAAAAATGAGCGCTGAAACCAAGTCACCCCCTCAGAGACTGGACAGTGAGCTGAGCTTCTCACAGCCCTGGGTCACCTGGCAGCAAAGGCCCAGCCTGGGTGGCTCTCAGCACCCCCCAGCCTCTCCTCCTATTCTGCCTTCTCAGGAACTGAGCAGCCTTGCGCAGCAGGTTCAACTTCTCTGAGCCTTAGTTGCCTTCTTTCTAAAATGGGGTGATAACAAAGCCTACCTCTGAGATCTGCTGAGAATTCGGTGTGATGATGACACACATCAAGTGTGGATGCACACCTGCTGAGAATTCGGTGTGATGACACGCGTCAAGCGTGGATATACACCTGAGACGCAGTCAGCACTCAGCAGTGGTCTTTTCCTCTTCTGCTTCCATGGCTTGCTTTCTTTTCATGTACGTGACACAGGGTCTCGCACAAACGTTTATTTTAAGCACCACTGAGATTAAATCAGATATTTCAGTCCTTGATAGATGAAAAGAGTTCAACAAAACATTCATTAACACATTGCCAAAAAAGTGGTCTTGAGGTATGCTATTGATGACACGAAATAAAGGGCTGGAATGCAAAGCATTATTTATTCAGCTTAAGAACAAAAGGCTTGGAACACTGTATGAACTGGGTTAGCTGATTATAGGAACCACCATTGTCCTGTCTCAAAGCTGCCAAAGTGAAATTGCCAATGTGAAACTTTCACAGTTAACCTTCTAGAACTCATCCGTAGCAAAGGATTTCAACCTATACTGCAGAATGCATGCAGAAAAAAAAAGTCAATACAACTAGATTCTATAGAGTTTATTCAGCACTATTAACTGTAATCCCAAGCTAGGACAATCTTAAAGATAATGCTAATTCTTTTATGTACATGAAAAAATGTTAATCAACTGTGTTGGAATTGTCAGGCGAAGATTTTTCACTTCAATCAAAAAGTCATTTTTAGGTTATGTTTTACTACTTCTGAAGGAGGAAGATGACTACCAGTTTCTACTCTATATGATTTAATAATCAGACTTTTATTGTCTTCTTAAATTTGTTTAAACTTTTTTCTACTAGATAAAAATCTTTGTATATTTTGGATACAAGTCCTTTATCTGATAAAAAGAGCAGCCCAGGGAGAAAAGACTCAAAAAAAATAAATTTAGAGATGTATTTTTACATGTGTGAAGTTGATATTAACTTAAAACTACAGGAGCAACCTCTGTAACTAGGAATAATTATAGCTAAAATGTGCTTTTCCAATTCTATCTTATAGATAAAACTAAACTGTCAACTACCGTTATGGCTCATCCCCCATTAATACTGTCTGACGGATTTGTTAAATAAATTTCAACCTTGGAAACACAGTATACATATGTGATTGTGTGCTAGAAATAAAACTAATACTTTGTGTTTATCTTTCATCACAAATTTCTTTTTTTTTTTTTTTTTTTTAAAGACAGGGTCTCACTCTGTCGCCCAAGTGGGAATGCAGTGGTGCAATGTCAGCTTACTGGCAGCCTTGACTTCCCGGGCTCAACTGATCCTCCCATCTCAGCCTCTCAAGCAACTGGGACCACAGGTGCACGCCACCACGCCTGGCTAATTTTTGTATTCTTTGTAGAGACGGGGTTTCACCATGTTGCCCAGGCTGATCTTGAATTCCTAGACTCAAGCCATCCACCCGCCTCGGCCTCCCAAAATGCTAGGATTACAGGTGTGGGTCACCACGCCTGGCCCACAAATCTCTAAATTAATACAAGCACTGTCACTCCGGGCAGACCATCACCTAGAGGCAGAGAGCAATTCTCAATACACCAGAGCTCAAGAACAAGGTAGACTTGTGACCGCATGGTTCCTACAACTTGATTCCTTGAGGGATCCAAGAGGTCACCAAGAATTTCGGCTCCCTGCGGTGGTGACTGCAGTGGTGATGGAGCCAGCAGCACGAGGAGCTTTCCGCCTCCCAAATTGTTCCAGCTGGCGTGTGAAAGGGCTCCCTCTCACCTCCCGCCACCGAGATCGTGGTTCCCACACCCATTCCTGCCGAGAGGAAGCAGCTGCAGGCATGACTTCACATTGTTTTCTGGCGTGAAGGCAATGGAATGGAAAAATGAGCGCTGAAACCAAGTCACCCCCTCAGAGACTGGACAGTGAGCTGAGCTTCTCACAGCCCTGGGTCACCTGGCAGCAGAGGCCCAGCCTGGGTGGCTCTCAGCACCCCCCAGCCTCTCCTCCTATTCTGCCTTCTCAGGAACTGAGCAGCCTTGCGCAGCAGGTTCAACTTCTCTGAGCCTTAGTTGCCTTCTTTCTAAAATGGGGTGATAACAAAGCCTACCTCTGAGATCTGCTGAGAATTCGGTGTGATGATGACACACATCAAGTGTGGATGCACACCTGCTGAGAATTCGGTGTGATGACACGCGTCAAGCGTGGATATACACCTGAGACGCAGTCAGCACTCAGCAGTGGTCTTTTCCTCTTCTGCTTCCATGGCTTGCTTTCTTTTCATGTACGTGACACAGGGTCTCGCTCTGTCACCCAGGCCTCAGTGCAATGGCACAAACATGGCTCACTGCAGCCTCCGCTTCCAAAGCTCAAGCAATCCTCCCACCTCAGCCTCCCAAGTAGCTGGGACTATAGGCACACACCACCATGCTTGCCCAGCTTTTTAATTTTTTTTTTAAATATAGCGTTCTCACTATATTGCTCAGGCAGGTCTCAAGCAATCCTCCCGACTTGGCCTCCCAAAGTGCTGGGATTAAAAGCATGAGACATTCAGCCTGGCAGGCTTGCTTTCTTTCCATTCAGTTTTCTCAGGGACAAATATTGCTCATTTTCCTAATTCTTTTTTATTGTTGTTGTTAAGATAGTATCTTGTTATGTTGTCCAGGCTGGTTTCAAACTCCTGGGCTCAAGAGATCCTCCCATCTCAGCCTCTAGTAGCTGGGCCTCGAGGCGTGCACCACCACACCAGGCCTCATTCTCTATTTCTTTCCAGACTGAAACTCAGCATCTGCCAGTGCCATTGTGTCTCTCTTGCTGTCCCTATTTCAGTTTTCATGGCATCACGACATGAGGAGACTACAATGGAAATGCAGATCTCAATCCCTTCCCACCTTGGGGTCCTTCATCTCAAATAACAGCCTCAACACTGAATGGGAAGATCTATCCTTATACTTGGTATAGGATGACAGCTAAACAAATGTTAAGAAATGAAGAAACTTCTTAAAAGAAATATGCGGTTTCCTTGCAGGAGAAAAGAAGCAGCAATATGTATCCTTCAAATTAGAGGACTCATAAATTATTATTGGAAGAAAGGATGCAGAGATGGATGGAAGGAAAAGGATGTCACCACAATAAGAAGAAGGGGGGACGGCAAGATGTAGAAGAGAGACGGGACAAGCAGATGTCTCTTCACAGGGACACCAAGAATAAAGGCTCAGGCAGAACATGTTCTTTGTCTGGAAAGAAATACAACTTTTATTTCTCCAATTCCCCAGTTAAAAGGAGTAAATGGCAAAGACAGATGTCTTCCCAGTCAACAGATCTTCTATCAAGCAGCTGCAAGAGAATGTGAACTTCCCTGGCACGTTCAGTCTCATTGCTACCACCACAATGCACCTGGGGTAAGCCACACTCAAATCATTCATCGAGTTTGTGATTTCTAATTCGTGTGTATCTGAGCGCACATGTGCGCAAACATCACCATTTGCCAAAGCACCTATGTTCTTTCTTTGTTTTGTTTTGTTTGAGACGGAGTTTCATTCTTTCGCCCAGGCTGGAGTCAAGTGGAATGATCTTGGCTGACTGCAACCTCCACCTCCCGGGTTCAAGTGATTCTCCTGCCTTAGCCTCCCAAGTAGCGGGGACATATAGGTACCTGCCACCATGCCCAGCTAATTTTTGTATTTTTAGTACAGATGGGGTTTCACCATGTTGGCCAGGCTAGTCTCGAACTCCTGACCTCAGGTGATCTACCTGCCCCAGCCTCCCAAAGTTCTGGGATTACAGACGTGAGCCACCACGCCCGCTATGCTCTTCAATTACTACAGAACATGTGCTTGTCAACAGCACTTGTTAAGAAACATATTTTTCAATCTAAGTTCAGAAAATGATATCCTGATAAATATTTACATATCAGTCTTACTCCTTCAAAACTGTTCAAATTTAAAATAAAAAAAATACCAGAGGATGAGGGCAATATATTTGTCCAGTTCTTCTCCTCAAACTATCAAATTTGATTTCAGAAAACAAGTACAATGCAAGATTTTTATATTTCCTCCCACAGTCTACCCCTTCTGAAGCAGGCACTGTGCTTTTCACATGGTATATCTCGATCTCCTAACCTCGTGATCTGCCCGCCTCGGCCTCCCAAAGTGCTGGGATTACAGGCGTGAGCCACTGCGCCTGGCCCACAAGTTACATCTCATTTAATCTTCGTAACAATCTTTTGGAGTAGGTATTATTTTAAGTATTTTATATTATTTATCTGTATTCAATTTTACATAAATGTGGTCATATACATGATTTTTGTAAATAAAAAACTTTTGTTCTCTTTTTTTTGGCTGGGCTCCTACATTCCCTCCCTATCTCTCCCCCTGCCAGAGTAAATACAACTTTTTTTCCAAACTGTCCACTGTATTTACATATTAACTTGTATACAAGTTTGCATAGGATGTATGTTTTATATATACACACACAAACACACACACATATGCATTTTAGGTATTTATGGTAACCATTTATCTTCACACCACACTTACTTTTTTGCCTTTTTTTTTTTTTTTTTTTACTCAACATTAACTTGTAGAAATCCCACCAAATTATCTGGTAAGGTAAATATTTGTATTCCCATTTTGCAAATGAGAAAATTGAGGTTCAAAACTTGTAAGTGACTTGTCCAAGGCCCCAGGGCTAATTAATGTGTAGAGGTAAGATTTGAACCTATAGCTGTCTGTCTGTGAAGAATATGCTCTTAACCACTAAACTAACCTCCCTCGGTGAGCACCACGGGAAAAAGAGAAACAGAAAATGAACGCAGAAACAAAATTAATACCTCTTGTGTCCCTTGAGTTCTGATAAAAGTCATTCTCAGCAGCCTAACTTTCCAAAGCATTATTTCATTCATACAACACACATTTTAAAAATCACCATTCATCATGTCCCAGCCATTCTTAAGCCTCAATAAGCTGGGCAGGCACAATGAGGATGCTCACAGGTACCCTTGTGATGTGACCAGATCAGGACGTGTACTTCCTATGGGGAGATTTTTTTTTTTTTTGTAATCATCAGTTCCTAACGATCGACCCCTCTCTCCAATCACCAGGAAAAGTAGCACTTGAGATGATGCATAAGCCCATCCCATCAGACAAGCATAGACTTCTCCTGGCTGAATTACTCAAGTGTCACCTTCTCAAGGAGGTGACTCCAGGCACATATATCAAACTGTATCCTCACTCCTTCCTGTGTACCTTCCCTCCCTAGCACTGCATTACCTTTATATAACCACATATATTCATATATAAAAGTTTGCTTATCAATCCATTTTCTCTCTCCCAGTGAGGGTCAGGGACTTTTCATCTGTTTTGACTCTGGTATCCCAGGGCAGCAGACACAGAGTAAGTGCTAAACAAAAATGTATTGAAAGAAGTGTCCAAATACCTAGAAAGCCAACATCAACTTGCTTAGACAGAAGTTCACCCCGTGAAACAAACATGACCCCCTCTGCCTTCACTTTCATCCCTTTCTCTCCTCTCCCTACACTGCAGTGGGGACAGCCTCAATCAGCCACACAGTCAAGGACCCTTCACAATAAAACACAAATGTACCAACAAGCAAAATTTTCCCATTTGCTAATCACAATATTTAACTCTTTCATTTAATTGATTGCTAGTAAACTCTGTTAAAAATCAAAACAGGGCCAGGTGCAGTGGCTTATGCCTCTCAGCGCTTTGGGAGGTCGAGGCAGGAGAATTACTTGAGGCCAGGAATTTGAGACCAGCCTGGGCAACACAGCAAGACCCTGTTTCTACAAAAAATTTAAAAACAAGCTGGGCATGGTGGCATGCACCTGTAGTCCCAAATATCCAGGAGGCTAAGGTGGAAGGATTGCTTGAGCCAGGAGGCTGAGGGTACGGTGAACCATGATTACAACCCTGCACTTCAACCCAAGCAACAGAGTAAGACCCTGTCTCTTAAAAATAAAAAAAAAAAAAATCAAAATATGACCAAAATATTATGGGAAGAGGGAAGCAAGGGAAAAAAAGGACACTCAAGGTAGGTATCAGGGAAATGCCTTCAACCACAAATGCCATGCTTTCATGGCTGTATGACTAAAGCATCACAACTGGTATCAGACTCTTTTTTGTCAAAATTACTTTATGCATCATAAAAAAGAGCAAAAACTCAGAAGCTACTTTAGTTGCTCTGAGCACCTTTCTAAGATCACGACCTCAAAAATCCACTTGCCTTGAGAACAATGGCTGCTCAGGACTAGAGCAAACAACTGCCACGTGCAGAGACAAAGTTCACAATGCACATTCCAGAAACAACCAGAAAACGCACAGCTTTTCAGAACTGCATCTCTGTCATGGCACGGTCAGGACAGAAGGGAGGATGTTCTTTGCTTTGCCAAATCAGCAGTAGAAACAAATGTGGAAACACAGAATTTTAGAACCAAGTGGGACATGAAAAAACAAGCAGCTCTTCCTTACATTTCATAGCCTCAATTCATTTCAAAAATATTTGACAAGCATCTGCTGCATGCCAAATAACAGGACAGAAGGTAGTCCTAAGAGCTGATGGTACAAGAAGAATTTTTTTTTTTAAAGTTAAGATCACAGAAGCTCAATCAGTTACAGACTGGCTAATGAAAAACTTCCTGAGCCTTTACTAAGATACCTAGGTCTGGGCAATGAGCCATGAGTGAAACTGACATGTGTCACTTACAATTCAGAACATCAGTCAGTGTGTGGACCTTCATGATTTTTACCTCTCTGCCTTGGGGACAAGCAACATGACATACCAGTGATTCTGTCAACCTATGTCCTATACATTTTGAAATGAGGAAAGTCAGAGCTGACTGTTCCCTGCCCCTGACCCATTTGGATGTAAATAACCAAGGAATAAACTGCCGAGGTTTGAGGTTTGGGGGGGTGTTTGTTACTGCACCACAACCTAGCCCATCCCGACTGGTAAATCCAAAAATGAGAGGCCAAAATGAAAAGAAAATTAAGAAGCAGATACAGTAAAGTACTCAGAACAAAGACTATCATGCAACTTAGTTACTCCAGAAATTTCATTAAAAAAAACTAAGTGTTCTAACATTTTAGGGGAAGTACAAGAATTATTAGTTTTTGACTATTTTAAAACACACAAAAAGGTAATATTTAATTCAAAGGCCACTGGTCAGTCTTCACAGAAACCATCTTTACAATGGATCTAATTTAAAGCCTTTCATCTCTCTCCAATTCTGTGAAGGAGAGTGGTACTTCACACCTGCATGAAAATCCTTTCAAGAAGAAGAAGAGCAGGAAAAAAAAATTAGAAAGCGAAAATGACATACTACTGACCTTCTGGACTGTAGTGGTCAGGTCCAAGCAAAGCTGGATAATTTTGTTCTTCGTGACTGAGAAATCAGTGATCCCTGTAAACGGAGCCCTGGAAGGTAACAACAATCCTCTTAAAAGGCGTAGGGAGAATCCACTGGGATCCCACTGTATGTTGGTAAGTATAGCTACCCCATGGGCTACTCTAAATTCTTTTCTGTTTTGTTTTGTTTTGTTTGAGACTGTTGCCAAGGCTAGAGTGCAGTGGAATAATCTTGGCTCACTGCAACCTTCGCCTTCTGGGTTCAAGCAACTCTCCTGCCTCAGCCTCCGGAGTAACTGAGATTACAGGCATGCGCCACCACACCCCGCTAAGTTTTGTATTAAATTACTTTTTATTGAACTGGTTTCTCTCAAGTAACACATAAAATAGGAATCTGAATAGAAAGAGAGAAGGACTAGATAAAAAAAACAAATCCAAAATGACAGTTAACATCCCTTCTGAAGTCAACTAACAGCTTTCATACCAATCAAATCCTCAGCCATTAATATTTAATCTCAGTAAAACACAACCTTTAGCACAATTTCACTCTTCTCTAAGCTGAAGTTAATTTGTTCCTGCTATTAACCGTTTAAGTAACTGGCAAAGGAATCCTAAAATCTACCACCGATCAAGGACTCCTTAAGAGTTGGTAAAAGGCTGGGCGCGGTGGCTCACGCCTGTAATCCCAGCACTTTGGGAGGCCGAGACAGGCAGATCACGAGGTCAGCGAATCGAGACCATCCCAGCTAACATGGTGAAACCCCATCTCTACTAAAAATATAAAAAAATTAGCCGGGCGAGGTGGCGGGTGCCTGTAGTCCCAGCTACTCGGGAGACTGAGGCAGGAGAATGGCGTGAACCCGGGAGGCGGAGCTTGCAGTGAGCCGAGATCCAGCCACTGCACTCCAGCCTGGGCGACAGAGCGAGACTCCCTCCCAAAAAAAAAAAAAAAAAAAAAAAAAAGAGCCGGCAAAAATGATACGGAAAGAACAATGGTTCCTTTCCCTAAGACAAAGCACAGCTACCATGCAGCTTGGACGCTACTCTTGCAGGGCAGTAAAAGGCACATCTCCAACTTACCGGTCCAGCCAGGCCAGCAGGGCCTTGGCGGCGCCGATGAGCTCCACCACGGATGTCAGGAATTCATTGGGGGCCTTGCGGGAGGTGTTTCCATCGTAAGCGGGACTTTTCCGCCGGCTACTTATGTAATTCTGTAAATTGTGGGAGGATGCTCTCAGTTTCAGAACCAAGTTCTTCATGTTATCAGTTTCAAGGCCATAATTCTGTGGAAAATAAAATCAAAGGGAAAAAATTCAAAACAATATTCGGTGGGGCGCAGTGGCTCACGCCTGTAATGCCAGCACTTTGGGAGGCTGAGGTGGGTGGATCTCGAGGTCAGGAGATCGAGACCATCCTGGCTAACACGGTGAAACCCCGTCTCTACTGAAAATACAAAAAATTAGCCAGGCGTGGTGGTGGGTGCCTGTAGTCCCAGCTACTCAGGAGGCTGAGGCAGGAGAATGGCGTGAACCAGTGAGCCAAGATTGCGCCAATGCTCTCCAGCCTGGGCAACAGAGCCAGACTGTGTCTCACAATAAAAACAAACAAACAAACAAAAAACAATATTCAAACTCTCTGATAACGCAAAAGCCCAGTTAGTCACTTGAAAAACTCTTACAACAACCACAAAACCCTGTGTGATCTATCCCCAGCACACTTCACTCATCCCAGCCATACCAGCCTTCTCTCTGCTCCTTCTACAGCCACTCGGGCCTCAGGGACTTTGTTCTTGATAGTTCTTCTTCCCCAAATGCTCCTCCTACAAATCTTGTCGGAGACAGCTCATTCTTTTTTTATTTTTATTTTATTTTTTGAGATGGAGTCTCACTGTGTCACCCAGGCTGGAGGGCAGTGGCGCCATCTCAGCTCACTGCAACCTCTTCCTCCCAGGTTCATGGGTTCAAGAGATTCTCCTGCCTCAGCCTCCTGAACAGCTGGGATCACAGGCGCGCACCACCACACTGGGCTAATTTTTGTATTTTTAGTAGAGACGGGATTTCACCGTGTTGCCCAGGCTAGTCTTGAACTTGTGAGCTCAGGCAATCTGCCCGCCTCAGCCTCCCAAAGTACTGGGATTATAGGCGTGAGCCACTGAGCCCAGCCAACAGCTCATTGCTATCACTCAGGTGCTGGCCCAAACGTCCCTTCCCCTGCAAGGCTTCCCTGATCACTTACTTAATCTAGAACAAGGTTTCTCAACCTCAGTCCTACTGACATTTGGGGCCAGATAATGCTTGTGGGGTAGGGGGTCCCTGTGTATTACAGGATGTTTATCAGCATCCCTGCTCTCTATCCATCAGATGGCAGTAGCGCCTCCTCCCCAGGTGTAACAACCAAAAATGTCTCCCAACATCACCCTGTGTTCCCTGGTGGCAGAATCGCCCCTTCAATTCACTCTCTAGCCCATCACCCACTTCTGTGCCATCTGAAGCACCGTGTTTGCGGCCTTCTTCCTCCACTGGAATGTGAGGACTACAGAAGCACGGCTCTGTGAGTATGCCCACTACGGTATTTCCAGCACAGCGGACAATCATATAGTCATGGAATGCGTGGATTTCTACCAGGCAAGACACTCACAAAACAAAACAAAACAAAACAAAACAAAACAAAACAAAACAAAACAAAACAAAACACAGCAGCACTAACTAAACACGAATTCACTAAGCGTGATCTCCTGAGCTTGAAGATGTGGCTCCTGTCTGTACTCCCAGCTACTCAAGAGGTAGGAGGATCGCTTGAGCCCAGGAGGTTGAGGCTGCAGTGAGCTATGATCGTGCCACTGTACTCCAGCCTGGGTGACAGAGAGAGACCCTGTCTCAATCAATCATAAAATTAATTTCTTGCTCTTGTGCTTCTAACCTGCGTTCTTTTTGAACAATGTTCAGCATACGTGGGTGCTTCAAAAAAATCAGTTTCATGAGCTAATACTGTCCTAGACTCCCTTTCAGAGAAAAGAGCCAATCCTGGGAAACAACACGTAAGTCTGCGACATTAGAGGTGGGGTACAAATTTCTGTATTCAATTGCCTCTGTGTGTCCTAAATTGTTTTATCATTTAAAAAAAAAAAAAAACGATATTTCTTGAGATAGATTATGCTGTCTAATTAGCATCCCAAGGCAAGAATCTGGTACCATTTAAAAACTGAGACTAACAGAATACTTAATATCATTGAACACTTTATGCTAGGAACTGGACTCAGTGTTTGACATGTATTATCTCAGGAAAACAGCCCAAGAAGGTAGAAACGTTTTTATCTCTAATTTACCACTAAGGAAACTGAGGCATGAGAACAGTAAATAAATTCTCCGAAGTTACAAAGCTAATCAGCGGTAGTACTGGGCTTCTGACTAAGGCAATCTGCATCTAGAGCACAAGCTTTTGATTACTCTGCTGTGTATGTCACCTTCCACACAACCTGCCCAAAAAGGGCCACATGATAAGACAGATGACAAGATGGACATTAGACAAGGATAAAGAAAACTGTCCAGCAATCCTGGATCCAGCACAAACTGAATAGCTATTCCGCTTCTCAAAATTCTACACATTCCCTCTGAAGTGCAGAAACTTTTTTTTTTTTGAGACGGAGTTTCACTCTGTCGCCAGGCTGGAGTGCAGGGGCATGAGCTCGACTCACTGCAACCTCTCACTCCCTGGTTCAAGCCATTCTCCTGCCTCAGCCTCCCAAGTAGCTGGGATTACAGGCGAGTGCCACCATGCTCAGTTAATCTTTGAATATTTTAGTAGAGATGGGGTTTCATCATGTTGGCCAGGATGGTCTCCATCTCCTGACCTCATGATCCGCCCGCCACGGCCTTCCAAAGTGCTGGGATTACAGGCATGAACCACTGCACCCGGCTGTGGAGAAACTTCTTTCAACTGGCTTTAGCCATGTGGGCCAGAGAGAGGCAAGTCACGTGTCAAAATCAAGATACATAAAGCATAAATATACTCGGAAGTATGTAAGAAACTTTTTTTTTTTTTGGCAAGATGAACAGTGGTAAGTTAAAAACAACAACAAAAGGCATTGACTTTAACAAAACAATTCTAATTTTAAGTAGATTTTACTTGAAGTTTAAATTTATGTTACCTCCTAGTAAAATAAAAAATAAAATTTAAAAGATTAGAAATTTTGAAAGAAGCAAAAATTAGCTGAAAAGTTTCTCTTCCAAGCTTTTGAAAAAAACTGAATTTCAAAATATAAATGAATATTCTATATTGGCAGTATTTTTCTATCTAAATGTGATATTCATTTTTTATGTTATTTTCTAGAGACTAAAATATAATCTTGTCCTCCAATAGAGAGACAAAAATAAGATGGATCTGCATCATAGCTTTTTAAATTCAAAGAATCAAAGACTCACAATTGAATGGATAAAGAGGCCACAAGACAGAGCTTGTTTTGAAGGACTTTTAACTATGATGAAAGGGAAGGACCCCCTCATTCAGTCAGTTACTCAGCCTGCCAACTTACATGAAGCATTTCGAACTAAAAGCAGGAAACTCAGCTTTCAATAACCAATGTCACCATAAATTACTTGGAACTTTTATGACCATATACATAATGTTTACTTGTTGAACTCAAAGAGGATTAAGTGCATTTTATTGTTGCAAGAAACTTTAAACCTCCATCTTCTAAAAAGTACCACTTTTAATACTGAAATAAAGGGGGAGAGTGGCATCTTGTAACTGGTTCTCTTCATTTTCCACTCAGTTTGCTCTTTTTTTCCCCTAAAACAAATAATGGACCTAGAAAGATGAATAAATATAGCTAGAATAGAATTTTTAAAAGAAGGAAGGAGGAAAAGAAGGAAAGTTCCTTCCCTTCGACCCCATTCCACATTAAACAAAGAACAAGAAACTGATTATATTAGCTCAAAAGAACCTCTACTGTAGAAGCATAATCAGGAAAGGATTATTGACTTAAGTGCCCCACAAAGAAAGATCAAAAATAAATAATTTCTCAGACCAGATTAATTACTTTCACCAGTCTTTTCCCCAAAACCTGTCTCCTTCAGAAACTGCTTCGAGGTAAGGCATCAACAAGATACAGATTAAGATACAAAGTGAGTTTCTGAAAATCTATTCACATACTAAAACCCTTCCACAGAGATCTCACTTCCTAGGGTTCACCATCAGGGATCCTTTCCTGATCTGGCTAGAGGAATCATACACTAAATGAGAGAAAAGGAAAGCAAAAACAGTCTTAAAATTATACACATTTAGCTAAGGACAAACCTTATACAACTTCTCTACCATCTTATCCATTCCTACTAGCTCTGTTTGTGATCTAACGTGTGTGATTAAGGTGTGCCAGAGACACAAAATCAAAGTCATCTTATTGACTTGGGTCAATTAAGAGACAGCCTAAGAAATATAGTTCACAGTCTTCCTAAGGCATTTTAAAATAAGCTCATAAGCAAGATCAAGTTAAATATAATTTGCCAGCAAAAATTCCTGTTCCTGCATTTCTTCTCATAAAAAAGATAACACGTTTAAATGATTTGCCATGGGTAAACAATAAGCAACGAATAATCTCAGAGGTATGCCAGTGTGCATATGCACTCTAGGCCCATAGATTCATTACAGGCACTTCATTTAACCCCAAGTCTAGGTAGCATCACTTAACACATGTATCAATTCCAACTGTTCACTTCTCAACCTCCTTCAACCTTCAAAACACAGCTGCCCATGCCTTGGTGTTCAGTAAACTGGGCCTCACTGACTTGGCAAAGAACACAGGTTACAGTCATACTTATCCTTTTTTTTTTTTTTTGAGACGGAGTCTCGCTCTGTCATCCAGACTGGAGTACAGTGGCGTGATCTCAGCAAGCTCCACCTCCTGGGTTCACACCATTCTCCTGCCTCAGCCTCCCGAGTAGCTGGGACTACAGGTGCCCGCCACCATGCCCAGCTAATTTTTTGCATTTTTAGTAGAGACAGGGTTTCACACCGTGTTAGCCAGGATGGTCTCGATCTCCTGACGTTGTGATCCACCCGCCTCGGCCTCCCGAAGTGCTGGGATTACAGGCGTGAACCACCGTGCCTGGCCACAGTCACACTTACCCTCATTGGTTATTCTTACTGGTTATTCTCAATCACACCCTCTCAACCAGTACTGGCCAACAGAACTCTATGCAAAGATGAAAATGTTCTTTTTCTGTGCTGTCCAGTATCGTAGCCACTAGCCACATGGAGCTTCTGAGCACTTGGAGTGTTGCTAGTACAACCGAGGAACTGAATTTTATTTTACTTTAGTTGATTTTCATTTAGACAGTCACATTGGGTAACAGCTATCCTACTGAAAAGAGCAGCTCTATAATCGGTCTCAGGTACCCTCTACCCAGAGAGAGGAAGAAAAACTGGATACAGATTCTAATTCAATCCTGGAAGGTGGTCCTGGTCTCATCGTATGATACAAATCACTCTCCTAAGCCACGACTGCCAGTTAAAGTCAATATTCACGAAGGGCGGTTTCTCTCATTGCTCTCTATCCACGACCAGCTAATTTGTGAGCCACTGCTCACCAGTTTTGGAATCTTCATTAATATTTTATATTAATGTTTATAAGATTGTTTCCTATTTATTATTATTATATAATAATGTTTCCTATTTTAGGTTCCTGTCCATCTATCTGCCCCTCTCTTTGCATTGATACTTTCCAGTGGTTTTGTTTCTCCCCTCCCCCTTCCTTACCTTTAATTCTATTCATTTCCTGTCTATCATAAAATCAACATCCACTAAACTAAGTTTACATAGAAACCTCTTTTATAACACCGAGGCCAACTGCATTTACACATCGACTGCCCTGGAGATGGTCTGTTCAAAGCAGCACCAATTTATACATCCAAAGATCTATGTGCTACAAATGGATTAAAAAGATAGTATAATTAGTATATGAATTATAAGAATATTCAAAAAGGAGATTATATCGAGACTAAAGATATTTTAGTAAAACTCACTAAAATAATCCACACACTTTTGTGAACCCCTACGTGACCCCCTGTCCAATGCAGTCACTGGTACAGAGCAGGTCCAGAATGAGTCTGAGGTCAAAGCTTGGTCTGCAAAGGAAATTAGAAGGAAATTGTAGGAGATAAAACACAGCTTTAGGTTCTGGCATTTGTCCAGCTTTGTTCATTTTAGTCTAATGCTCTAAGAGGTAGACAAGAGGAAAAAGCAGAGAGAATGCCCAGGGGCACCTGTTATGTTTGTCATCCCACCTGATGTACATGATGCATCTCTAGCTGACCCTTCTGCCCTGCCTCTCTTACTTTGGATTTCCAAGTAAATTTACCTGTCCTCCAAGTATTACTGCAAAGTGAAAGAGACAATTTGCAAAACATCAAGCAGAAAAGACGGAAAAGCCATGTTCCCAGAAAGTATAATAAAAGTAAACTCAAACATGTTTGTACAAAAAAAAAAAAAAATACAGTTTCAGTAATAAACAGGATGCTTAGACGTCTGGGCAGTGCAAAGCACTTACACAATAGTGCACAGCCACATCTAAGGTGAGCGTTACTGTACAGATGGGAAAAACAGACACCACCATTTCCCCGGAGGTCACAGAGGGAGAAGCATGTAGCAGAGCCGGGATTAGAATGCAAATTCCTGCTTCCCAGACCCGTGCTCAGACTACTTGGCTGTAGCGTCTCCCAGGCGGCGGCTCATTTATCAACTACAAATAATTTCCCCATTACTTTCCTAAACAAGAGCAGTGCATCTCAGAGCAGAAGACAAGGCTCTGTCCATTTTAAGAAGAAGAATACACACAATGCAGCAAGTGTTATATAATCAACAGTACGCAGACCAGCGATGGCAAAATCATCAGCAGCACATTCTTTCCCACCATTCTCAGTGATGTAATTGTATATACCCCTGGCTGGGGTTCAGGGCATTACTAACCCAGCCTGAATGCTGTCGAGTTTGTCCAAATCCTGACAGTTAAGTAAACTGCATCTTTAGCCTGGCACCGGGGCAGGCAGACTTGAATCCCACCCACACTAACCAATGTATAAACAAAATGTCCTTACAGGTGTTTTTGGCCCACACCTAACAAAGCTACCCATGTGATTCTAGTGTCAGGACCCAGCAGGATTTTACTCATTCGTGTTAAAGCCAAAATCCATCACCTACAAAATGTAATGAAGGCCACGTTTTTTTCCCATTTCATAGGTCATGTCAAGTGCAAATATCAGTTATTTAAATATCATAAATATCTGTGAAACTCAACCGCTTTTTATAGTAACAAAACCAGACATGAAAATCAGAACCTATTTCTCACTTCAATTTAGAAGATGACGTTTTCTTTTCTTTTTTGAGACAGGGTCTCACTCTGTCGCCCAGGCTGGAGTGCTGTGGTGCGATCTCTGCTCACTACAACCTCCACCTCCCAGGCTCACGTGATTCTCTGAACTCAGCCTCCTGAATATCTGGGACTATAGGTGTGTGCTAGCCACGCTCGGCTAACTTTTTGTATTTCTAATAGAGACAGGGTTTTGCTACGTTGCCCAGGCTAGTCTCAAACTTCCGGACTCAAGCAATCCACCCGCCTCGGCCTCCCAGAGTGCTGGGATTATACGCATGAGCCATTGCACCTGACCAGAAGGTGACATTTTCATTCAGGACTATTTCCAACGTTTTTACCTTATAAAAGAAAACTAGACTAACTTAGACTAATACAGAGATTTTCTGAAAAAGACAAACTTTCTGTGAAGGAAAAGTTAATAAATATTTTAGGCTTTGGGGGAACCATATGATTCTGTTACAACTACTCAATTCTCACTGTAGCAAGAAAGCAGCCACAAACACATAAGTAAATGGACATGGCTGTGTTCCAATAAAACTTTATTTACAAAAATAGATAGCGGGCCAGATTTAACTCACAGGCCATAGTTTGCCAACCCTTAATGTAGAAAATAATTCATTTTTTCCCCTTCCTATAGTATCTTCGGCTCATGTTTTATTTCAATGGAGCATTAAGAAAACAGTGATATGCTAAATCACAAACAATGAGAGCTTAAGAGAACAAGGCTCTAAAGAATGCCATCACGGTACAGATCACCTTCTCCTGAACTAACCAGTGCACAGAGAAGGTCCACAGCCTCCAACACAAGCTCCTGGTGTCCGATCCGCGTGACCCCCAGCTCCTCCAGATCCTGATGGGAAATCTGCAGCAGCTGCTCGCCATTGATCTTCTCCCGTTCAAACTTGTGGACATATTGTTGCAGGCAGTCATCCAACCCTGCCGAAAACAACCAGAAGTCCCATTATTGTCATTCTGTTCCTTTACCCCCACCAAACTGCCCGCATGTCACATCAATCTCAGCAATCACCAATTGTGATGCTACTATCTGATTATCCATGTGAGGCCTACTCCACCTAATGGGCACCTTTGCATGACACCTCAAACAGATTTCCAAGTGCAGCTTAACATTCTCAAGTGATCCAGCAGACTTTTATGATAGTTACCTTTTCATTCCCTGTAAACTAAAGGAATAAACGCCAAACCCCTGCTGACTTAAAACTCTAATTATCTAGACCAGACATGTTGTCTGTTTGCTAAGCAACCCTTCTTTTGGGACATCATCCCTCCCATCCCATGTAATCCCAGGGAGCTTGCCACTCAAGACACCTTGCCACAGTGGGTGGCACATGGCCAGGTCTCCTGTAGGGCTCTATACACCAGCCAGTCATAGGTTTAGGGATGGACGTGTGACTCAAGCAGAACCAATCAAAATCTTCCTTGATATTTGATATATGGCCACAAGAACTGAGAAGCTCTTTTTTACCTTCCAATCAGAAGTCAAAAGATAAACCTTGGCAATGCTGGCAGTCATTTTTCTCATCAGTTTTCTGAGAATAAATTCATTTGAGAAAGAGAGAGAGAAAATACCCCAATAATATCCTATATACCCCTGGATATAACTTTGCTTAGTAAAGATACTTCTAGCCCTAGAATATTTCACTTAAGTTTAAATAAGTTTTCTTTTTAGATTAAGCTTGTTTGTGTCGAATCTCTGTCCCTCACAACTGAAAAAGACTCTAAAGGAGATGGGTACCAGCAGTAGTACCATATAAAAAGGCATGGTAAATGGGTTCGCCTATGGCAATTTTTCCAGGTCAAACATTATGGCCAAAAGTGCCATATTTTAATGCTTGTATATATTGACTAGAATGAGTAAGCCAAACAGAACTTGAGAATTATGATTCCCGTACAGAGAACTTGTTTTAATAGTTTTACTGGAATAACATTTTACCCTGAATCAATTGATCTATTCAAGCCTAATAATAAAAGTCACCTTGGTGTTTTAAAAGACCCGAGTTATATAAACTCAATCCCAACACAAAGAATGAACACTCAATTTAACTGGAAAAGTATGTAGAAAGCATGCTGCTGCCCCCTCCCCACCAAACGCACGCACATGCACACACACACAAGTGCACACACACACGCCCATACATGCACACACGCACACACACACGCACACATTTATTTCATTTAACCCTCACAAAACCTGTGTCATGTGGGTATCTCTCTGAGCTAGCACTTACTTTTTGGATTACTAAAGTCTATGGATATTAAAATCTGATGTGTGAGGCTAAACTACATCTCTGCCCTACAAATGTTCACCATTTTCCTCCTAATAAGACAGGAAAAACAGTAGTTTTCTGATAACCATTTGAGGCTATTAAATATAGGAAGAGGAAGTAATAAAAAAAAATCTATGGTAACCATTTGGAACCCAACTCATCCTCCCTGAAATGACATCTGTCTAGCCCAGGGGCTAGACATTACACAGCAAGCGAGGTTGGGAATATTGATATAAACCCAGCTCCACTCTGACAGCCTTGAGCTACAGGTGGCCTTCGTGGCATGTGAGTCGGGCAGGCAGTGGAGGCCAGGCAAGTCAGCAGGTGTTGAGATCGACACCCTACCTGGGCTGCAAATGCAACCTCAGCACCAGGACACTCAGAATCAATCGTCTACAGAGGGGGCGGTATCTATCTGTAGCAGGCAACCATGACAAGGGACAAGATTGAAGGACAGCCTCCTAACTATTTTGTTCCCATCTTGTGGATGAAAGAATTAAGGCTCACGGAGGATACATAACCTGTCCACAGTCGTATAGCTGGTCAGATGCCAAGAAAAGGGCTGATGCAGAAGAAAAGAGGTCAAATGCAAGTTAGAGACTCTGTTGGACACAGCCTCGTTCTTCTGCATTTTCTCGCAAACATGACATAATAACCCAGGATTATAAAAATTCTTCTCCAGCAACTTCTTAAATGAGCAGTAAAGTCTAACCACAAGACAGTTATTAAAAGAGAATTACAGAATCTTAGAGTCACTTAAAAGGCACTTCAGATCCCAATGAGTACAAAAAACTGAGAAAACACAGACAAAACAGAAATTACTGTGAAGTTTACCCAGAATCACTTAGCCAGTTCTAAGCCTGATCATGATCTTCTCCTCTCTCTCAGGACGCTGTCCTCCCTAGCCTACTTTTAAGCTTTAAAAAGAATTTTTTTGTTTTAGTTTGTCATACAAGTTTAGGACAACTATGTTATATATTTAAAGCCTGTTATGGCTAAACTGTGTCCCCACAAAATTCGTATGTTACAATCCTAACCCTCAGTACCCTGGAATGCATTTGGAGAATCCTTAAAGAAGGATTAAGTTCAAATGACATCGTTAAGGTGGGCTCCATCCATATGACTTGTGTCCTTATTGGAAGAGGAGATTACAACACAGACACACACAGAAGAAAGATATGTGAAGACACGGAAAAGACGGTCATCGTAAACCAAGGAGAGAGGCCTCAGAAGAAACCTACCCTGCTGACACCTCGATCTCAGACTTCCAGCCTCCAGAATGGTGATGAGACAAATTTCTGTTGTTCCAGCCTCCCAGTCTATGGAGCTTTGTTATGGCAGTCCAAGCAACCAAATACAAATGTAATAACATTTTCTTTCATATTAATCCACACGTGATGGACTCTCTTAAACAAGGCCCAGTGACCAATGGAACAGGTGATGCTTACTGTGCTAAACAAGCTCACTGCTCATAATACAAAGCATAACACTGAGAGATTCACATTCGTTTTCATGTACAGAATAAATCAGTCCATTAAAACTACAGTGAAAAGGTATATTGGATGTTCCTTAAGCTTCATTCCTGAATGCTAAGGAGAAATAAAGATGAGGCCAGATCATTTCTCTGTTAATGAACTGAAAAATTCACGGAAGAAGTGGGATTTCAGAAGTAGCTTTAGAATAGTAAGGAAATGTTTGGAGCACTGAAAAGGTTGAGATGGAAGGAATGGTGAGGGTTCTAGACAGTGTGCAGGCTACAAATGACTAGACATTGAGAATTGAAGAATACAGAGCATTTCTCTGAGAAACTAACCAGAATCTCCTTGAGGATTATGAGAGAAAATAAGCATTGTAACCTCAAATAATCACAAGTTCCCTGAGATGTAAAATTATCAAGCAGAAACATCACGTTACTACCCCTATAAGAATAGAATCTATTGTAGCCTCAAGACTTTGTCCTCAACGCACACATATATTGAATATGCTAGGTTTTAAATAGTGTTGCCTCCCAGAGTTTTATTATTCCAATACATTATGACCTATTGTTCGGCAGTCCTATTGTTTAGAATACAATTAAACATTTATAAACAGCTAAATTAAACTATTACGCAGTCCCACAAAGGAGGGAAAAGGCTCAATTTCTAGTAAACTGATCTAATAGTCTTAGAATTTGCAATAAACCATACTCTTTTACTTATTTGTCAGATGGATCTATCTGCCAGTTTCTTGCTTCAAGCAATTTACAGAAAGTCTAGCAGGACCAAGAGAAACACATAATTCAGTAAAATTAGATTAAACACATTCCATTTATACAAATTAAACACGCAATTAAATGTGAAGGAAAAAGAGAAGAAATTCTCACAGAAGGGAGCCACAGGTCCCAGGCCTACTCTATTGTCACGAAATCTGGCTGTATATAATCCTAAACCTCCAAGGAAATCCCAAATGCAAGATGAAAACACAAACACACACACACACACACACACACACAAACACACACACATGGATAAGAGCCCACAATCCAATACCAGTCTCCCTTCTCACTGACTGGATAACCTGGGGCAAGTTACTCGGCTGTCTCATTTGTAAAATGAGAATACTAATACTACCCACTACAGAGAACTGTAATGAAAATTTAATGTTAATGTTTATAAAGAGCTTAAAACACCATAGAACACATAGTAAATACTCTGTAAATTTGGTTAAATTTTAAAATGTGATTTATTCAGGTCCTCAGTTTTCTAAATGTTCAGAATAAAAGTTGCTGGCTGGGCATGCTGGCTTACTCCTATAATCCTAGCATTTTGGGAGGCCAAGGCAAAAGGACTGCCTGAGGCCAGAAGTTTGAGACCAGCCTGGACAACATAGCAAGACCCCATCTCCATTAACAGAAAAAAAAATTGTTTGTTTGTTTGAGACAGGGTCTCACTCTATCACCCAGGCTGCAGGACAGTGGCACGATCACAGCTCATTGCAGCCTTGAACCCCTGGGCTCAAGTGAGGCTCCTGCCTTAGCCTCCCAAGTAGCTGGGACCACAGGTGTGTGCCACCACACCCAACTAAAATTTTTTAATTTTTGTAGAAACGTGGTCTCCCTATGTTGCCCAGGCTGGTCTCGAACTCCTGGGCTCAAGCTGTTCTCCTGCCTTAGCCTCCCAAAGTGCTAGGATTACAAGTGTGAGCTGCTATACCTGGCAGAAAAAATAAATAAATAAATTTTTTGAAACAGAATAAAAGTTGCTAAAGAGACACAGAAACTCCCAAATGCTTAGGTGGCCATGTATTACCTTCCCCAGAAAGTGTTCCCAAATGTGAGAACCTGCAATCATCATTGGTTTCACCGACAAAAATTTTATGATTTATATCAGAACATAAGCACCATAAAAGTAGTAACTTTGGCTGGGCACAGTGGCTCACGTCTGTAATTCCAGCACTTTGGGAGTCCAAGGTGGGCGGATCGCCTGAGGTCAGGAGTTCAAGACCAGCCTGGCAAGCAAGTTCAAGACCACTATCTCTACTAAAAATACAAAAAAAAAAAAAAAATTAGCCAGGCTTGGTGTCGGATGCCTGTAATCCCAGCTACTCGGGAAGCTGAGGCAGAAGAATCACTTTAACCCAGGAGACAGAGGTTACACTGAGCCGAGATCATGC